ATGCATTCACTGTCTGTGTCTGAATTTTCTGAAGCCTGAATAGTCACTTTGAACTTTAACCCACATGCTTAGCCTAGTCATTTTTGAAATCTGCTGCATAACACTTGCTAGGACTAGGTTCTAGAGTGATTACTGTGTGCCATAATCATCATTTTGCAATGTTCTTTACTGCATATTTATAGCATATCTGCGCATCAGTTGTTCTACACACTATTTATTGTCAAGTTTGCCCTTTTGAACTGATCTGTTTTAACTTTTCTGCATCGATTGTTTGCTGCCCGGTATCCAGAGTAGTTATTGTCATTTTGCATAGTGAACACTTTGGAAGCACAAACCTCGTGCACACTTTGATATCCACTTAAACTGCGAATCTGATAAAGTTAACTTCAATGCTTGTAGCTGTCTCCTTATCTAACCAACTCACTATTTCTCTTTATTTCCCAGCAGCAACATGGCAAATACACCCAGGAAAAACACTCCTAGAACCAAGAGAGCTAGAACTGCTGGAGCTTCATCATCCAGACCTACTCCTGCCCATGACGCAAAGTTTAGATCCTTGGCTCATGAAGATTATTTCAGAACCAACATCCTGCGAAGGCAGATAGTACAGGACCGCAATTTTGAGATCCAGGAGGGGACATACACTCAATTTCAAGAAGAAATTCAAAGACGGAGCTGGGAGCTGTTTACCACTTGTGCTGGAAATGGGTGGAAAGAGATCACCTGGGAATTTTATGCTAATGCAATGAGGGTGAAAGGAGATTAGCTGCCCGTCAGACACACCATGGTGCGAGGTGTGAAAATTGATTTTTCTCCATCCAACATTCAGAGGATTCTGAACATACCTCCAGTGGAGAGGCGAGCTGGACAGCTTGATTTTTCCACATTCAGCTATTTGGAAGAGAAGGATTACAAGCCCATACTCCAGGCAATCTGTAAACCAGGGGAAAATTGGGAGTTTGACATGCAGCTCATGCCGAAGAATTTGACCACAAAACACCTCCTTCCACCAGCCAAGGTGTGGAGCATTTTCCTTTTGAGCTCCTTCATGCCAGTACGCCATTCATCTACATTGGCTGTCAAGAGAGCTGAACTTATATATGCCATCCTCACTAGCATGCCCATCCATGTGGGAGACATTATCAGTAACTTCATCATGGGAATCCTAAGCACCAAGAGAGACTCCCTTGCTTTTCCATCCATCATCACCATGCTCTGCCAAGATGCTAGAGTAGACATAGGTGAATACCAGCAGAGAATCAAAGCAGACCCTCCCATCTCTACTGACATGGTGAAGGATCTTTTTAATGCTAAGAAGAAGACTGCTGACCCAGGCCTCTCCCTACCTGCTGAATATAGGAAGAAAACCTAGTTGAACCTCAGAGAACAAGTCAAGCAAATAGCACTGAGGCAGGAAGCGATCCATGCTGGACAAAAATCCATGTTGACCCTCCTGGAAACTATGTCACTTAACATAGGAAAGAAGTTGGGCATGACATCAGACCAAATTTATGACACCCCTACATTCACTGCACCTTTTCTCAGAGCAGCAGTTAACCAGGATTTACCTCCTTTCACAGCCACCACCCATGCACCTGCAGCTGAGAAAGATAGCAGCTCCAGTTCTCAAGAGGAGGAAGAGGATGATGAGGATGATGACAACCTTTCATCCTCCAGCTCAGATGAAGATCTAATTTAGCTCTACTTTCCCTTATGTCATTTACATTTATACAATTTCTAGTTCATTTCCCTATATTTAGTATCTACTTCTTTCCCTGTAATTATCGTACTTTACCCTCTTTAATACCATCTCTCCCTTTATTTTCCTGCATCATCCCCTTGAACAATATTTGACACTTTCATATATACTATTTGCAGTTTAATTTCCATTATTATACTCTGTGCTGAATCCACTATGTGTCTTTGTGCAGAGAATGCCCTCAGTAACATCAAGAGGAGCATGAATTTGATTTCTGAGTGTGACTCTGAAAGGGGGGTGATCTTTTTGTCTCTGTTACACATTGTCTTAGTCTGTTATTTCCTGCATAGTTCATAGATAAAATACAAAAACATTTTCATTATTTCTTTATTTTTAATGAATTTCAGTTTTGTAATTCTGATTTTATATTCTGATTGCACTTCCCATTCAACTCTCAATCATTCTCCGTTTTGTAAATAATTACCATTCCTACCATACTGACCATATTTTCTTGTAAGGTGAACTATACTCATATGTTGCTCAGTAATTATCATCTTTTACCATGGTAGAGAATTGAGCCTTAAATTTCTTTTCTGTGTGCGCATTACATGTATTTTTGCATCTATCCTCTAGAACTTGCCTTGTTTCTTAATTGAATTTGCATTGTGCAATTTTTCATCTAGATGATTAAGGCCTTCTTTGCACATACCCACCCACCTAGAACACCCTTGCACCTAATTTTCCTTGTTCTACATTCCCTTCTTTTGCCCAACTTAGTCTGCAAACATAATTTCCTTCCTTTAAGAGAGGTATTTCTTTTGAGTTGCATCAAGAGTGATTGCAAGAAACTAAGTTTGGGGTGCTAATTGTGACTGTAGTTGCTTGAGGACAAGCAAGATCTTAAGTTTGGGATGGTGAGCATTATATATGTCAATATTACATGTAAAAAAATGCTTGAATTTGAAGAAAAGAATGATTGACAAAGTCCAATGAATCACAAAATTGAATGAATGGAAGTGAAAGGAAAAGAAAAAGAAAAATATAGCAGGTCATTTTGATAAAAAAAAAAAAAATTCCCACATAAGGCAAAATAATGAAAAACATGGTGAAAGAATGTTTGAACCTCATAAACTGCATCATTTAATGCATTCCATTCTAGGTTTTGTACTCATTCACTCAAAGGAATTCCCTCCTCTTATAAAACCACTTAAGCTTTTGTCCTTCCTTGATCAAAATTGAACCTAACCTAACCACATTTGTGACTAACAAAGCCCTTATGATAGATGGTTCATTGTATCTAAGTAAAAGAGATTGAGAATATGGCAAGCATATAGTAGGATGAGGTAAAATGCATGAATTGAGGGAAAACACTTAACCTGAAACATTAGTGAGTGAAGAGTGAGCACTATACTGTGAGCTGGATGATTTCTTTGCATTGTGTGAATTGCATGAAACCTTGCTGGATTTTTGTTTCAGTTTAGTGGGACTTTGCATGAAAATAATTCATATGAGTGTGATTGCTTTGTTGAATGAATTCATGATTTTGGAAATATTGGAAGAGCCAATTAGGGTCTAATATTGGAATGAAAATTTTGAGAAATTTTTTTGGATAAATCCAACCCTTTACCTTCAATTTTCTTGAGTTTTGATTTGCTTGAGGACAAGCAAAAGTTTAAGTTTGAGGTTGTGATGAATCCACAATTTATAGATATTTTGTCTAGCTTTTTATAGAATTTTAATATGAAAAATAGACTTAGAAATTGCAAATAACATAAAAACCTCATTTAGGTCAAATATTATAACTTTCTTAATTTTTGTCTTATTTCAACTAATTTTTGTGATTATATTTTGTAATTTTGATAATTTGAATAATTGTGCAAGAAATTCTAGACAAATATCATGAATTTTTGGCTCTGGGGAAATATGAACTAAGAGTAATCACTCTCAGGTACCATAGTGATCACTCCAGGAAGCTGATTCCAAGGGATAGGCCAGAGTAACCACTTTCAGAAGTAGCAGTGATCACTCCAGAGCTAAAGAGAACCACCAGGCCTATGCGTAAACACTCTCAGAAGTGAAAGTGGTCACTCTAGAAAGCTCCAGAATTATAGTGCCTACACGTAAACACTCTCAGAAATGAGAGTGATCACTCCAGAGAGCTTCAGGATGAATAGCCTTGATCATAATTACTCTCAGAAGTGAGAGTGATCACTCCAGAAAGGGAAAAATCTGAAGTTGTTGCGCGTAATCACTCTTGTTTACAGAGTGATCACTATGAGGCCATGTCAGACTTAGTATATATAGATTTTTAGAAACTAGGGTACAGATATTTTCATAATTTTAGATTCTTTTGCCACTTTGGGAGCATTTTACAGAGCTTAGGATCCTTGGGTGACAGCCAAAGCCAATCTTAGGGTTTGATTTACAATTTTTCTTCACTTTTCTTTAATTCTTGCATTGATGTCATTGAATTCCTTTTGCTTTCATCTTAAATTTGTAAGACCCATCCTCATGGAGGGCTAAACTTTCTTGTAATCCTTAGTGAGTTCATAGATTCCTGAATTCCTGGGTATGAATGTCAATATAATTCCCTTTTCTTTATGAAATTATACCTCTCAACTCTTTGAATTGAATTAATGTTTGAATGAGGGGGACATTGCTTAATTAACCCTAATTCGTTTTAATGAAATTCTTAACTTTGTTTGCTTAATCCTAAGTTAGTTTTTAAGGTTGCGTAATCTTAGGGAAAAGGGTTGGAGTCCATGTAAATTGCTTAATTCGATGGGACTTTAAGGTTAATTCTTGCTTTTTGAGTTACCCTAATTCAGAGGAAGAGGAAAAGTATTGAATCTTGAGAGGGATAAGGATATAATTACATGAACAAACTAAGGATTGCACATTTCATTGATTGGATTCATTAATTTCATCACTTGCCTTTACATTAAAATTGGAATCACACAAAACTCCCTTGTTTTAATTGCTTTCATAGTAAATGTTCACAACATGTTCAATGTATGTTATAAACCAAAGTCATTGGAGACAACCTAGGCTTGCATCCTAGACTACATAAATTTTTCTGCATATTTTGATGAAGGTTGACGATAAATCTTTTTGCAAATGAGAAAATTTTCGTTCATTAAACGGCGTCTTCACTGATGCCATTAGGCTTCACCTTTTACCGTTCTCTGTCACAAAAAAGGTAAATGCATGATTCACCATGCTCCTTACAGGTTCTATCACAATATGGGAGAATTTAACTTAGCAAATTTGGGGAAAATATTTTCCCCTATCTCATTCTACTAAGTTGATAACAAAGATATCAAAGTTCCAGTAACATGGGTCAGAATCTTTATTTGAAGTATAGGAACGATTTGGAGAACTATTGAGGAGGTGCCCTCATCATGATTTTCCTATGTGGAGACAGATGCAAATTTTCTACATTGAATTATCAATCTCCAACAAAGTCACAGTTGATGCAGTAGCTAGAGGAGCCCTTATGAGGAAGACCCAAATGAGGCATATAAATTGGTGGATGAGATATGCCAGTTTTGAGAGGCACACAGTTGACCCTTTCATGAGCAGAAAGAATGAGACTACTCGAATATATTGCCAAATCAGTTAGAGAATCTAACCATATAGGTGGAATCTTTAAAGACAATTCAGGGATAGTCATCAAAACCACTTGCAACTTCTTTATGTGAGCACTGCAGCTCTTTAGGCCATGGCAACAATAACTGTCCAGTTATAAAAAGTAAAGAGAGAGCCAATTTCATAGGCAGTAACTACAACTCAAGATGGCAAAACAAACCTTCAAACTCTTGGGGGAATGGCTTTGGAAGCCAGAATGCAAATGTTTATCGCCCTCCTTGTCAGGCCTATAATTTATTATTGAGTAATCTGTAATGTTTTGTACTTGTTAAATGTTAATTAAAAGATTATTTGGTATTGGAATAGATTTAGATGAAGTTTGAAATTTAAAAAAAAAAAAAAAAAAAGTGAACAGTAAAGTCAGAATGAACAATAAATTCGGCGTGAACAGTGAAATTATTCTATGTTGTAAATACTGTTAATTAATTTAAAATGCTAAAATTTGGTTGAAATATTATGAATTGTTTTAGTTGAGCTGAGTTGTTGAGAATATGATTTTGTCTATGCTGCATCATACTAAGATATATGACTTGCTTCATTATAGAGTTGAGTTACACATATAAGTAGGTAGACGTGCAATGATAGAGCATGCTGAGCTGAGTTGTGTTGTACTGTGTTGTGCTGTCTGGATCCAGATACCGGAATAGGTCACTCTCGGACTGGCTTGATTCCTTTTGGATTACTTAGACTATGAAATCAGCTGCAACTATTTTTGTGATATGCATTAGATGGGCTGAGAATGCAAAAGGCTGTTGCTGTGAGTAATATTTTGCTCTATGTATATGATTTTTCTTTTGTAAGTTCACCCTTGCATTTCTGTCTATACTATTGTGTGCGTGTGTACTGTGATGATTGTACGGTGGTACGTGAGCAGATATAGCAAGTGTTGCATCTACTTCACAGGCTAAGAGGCCAGTGGAGAAGTGTTAGAAGGCTAAAGTCAAGTAATTTTTGCAATAAACTCCTTTTCCTTATATTTTGAGACCTCATATAGAGGAAGTTATGTAGTATAATTTTTGTGTATTTTGAGTTTTACGAACTAAATGTAATAGTATGTTGTTCTGTTGGATATTGTTGTAAGGAACTTTGTTTATTTTGAATGAAAAGTGAATTTTATACTTATATTCTCCATTATTATCTATCTTAAATAAATAAGTAGTGTAGAAATAATATTCTTGGTTCCTTATAAAAAGGGGTCATGACACTCCCCATATGCAAAATCAAGGAGTAAGACTAGAGAGAAAGGAGACTCCTAGATCTCAATTCAACTTTCAAGAGACAATGATGCAATATGTGCATTATTCTGATAGGAGAATGACAGAGCTTGAGTTGGATCAACATATTGAAAGGACTTATAAAAGATTCATAGAAATCAAATCTAAGATGAGGGCTCAATCCTCCTATATGAGAACACAATCTTCAAAGATCGAATTACAATTAGAGCAAATTACTTATCTCTTAAGTCAAAGAATGCTGGGAACATTGCCAACCCAACCTGAACCTAATCCAAAAGAGTAAATGCAATGTCATTACTCTAAGAAGCAGGAAGAAGGTGCAAGAATCATATAACAGAAGTTTACGCACGCCCATGCTCCCTATATAGCCTGTGCTTATATATGAGCACGTTACTGTTGCAATCGAAGCACGACCATGCTTAAACAAGCACACTCATGCAGATTCAACAAACACAGTCATACACGCCTCATTAGTAAGGTCGTGCTTCAAGCACAAAGCCTAAAGTAGAAAAGAAAGAAGAGCCCCCTGCGCAGTCAAGGCCCTATAAGCCTAGGATACCTTTCTCACAGCATTTGTAAGGCCACCCTTCCTACGATGAAGAATTTAACAAATTCTTAAACCTATTGGGTAAGATGCACATTAATATGCCATTCATCAATGTTATCTCTCAAATGCCTAAATATGTTAAGTTTTTCAAGGAGATCCTGACCAATAAGAGGAAACTGAAGGCTCATGAGACTGTAAGGCTAACTGAAGAATGCTCAGCTATAGTTCTGAAAAAGCTTCCACCAAAGCTTAAGGACCCAAGAAGTTTTACTATTGCTTGCACCATTAGGAAAACTCTCATTGATAGAGTTTTGTGTGATTTAGGAGCAAGTATCAACCTTATGTCGTATTTTGTTTTCAAGAAGCTTTAGATGCATAAACTTAAGTCGACCACTGTGTCACTTCAACTAGTAGATAAGTCAATCCTTAAGGCATAATAGAAGATGTGCTTGTGAAGGCTGGTGAGTTCCTATTTCCTGCAATTTTGTGGTACTTAATATGGAGGAGGAGGATGATGTCCACATCATTCTAGGCAAACCTTTCTTGGGTACTGCAAGAGGCATCATAGATGTCCAAGAAAGAAAGATCACCTTAAGGCTAAAGGATGAGGAAGTCATTTTTAAAGTTTTCAAATCATTTGGAAACTAATAATTAGCTAACTTTCCTACCTTGTTTTGCTCAACATTAAACTTTAACCCACAAATGAGTTTTGAGCCTTAAAAGAAATTTTTATCCTAATTTAATTATTAAACCCTTTCCTCATTGTTTTGTATGATTATCTCCTTATGATTTGTGCTCTAGAACTTGACTTGTAACCGGCTTGAAACTTTTTTTATTGCATGTTTTAATATCATTCAAGCATATTAGGATTATTTTTTCTTGGCCTTCAGCATGTTTGAGACAGAGATACAACTAGTGGCCCACTTTGAACTTTATTGATTTTTCTTGGTCCCTTACATTAAAATTATAAAATATTTTGATGACCTTGAGTTAATGAAAGAATTGAGTTGTTGAATTGTTTAATAAATTTTCCTATATGCCTCTTATGTGTAAAAAGAAAGAAAATATGCAAAAGAAAAAGAAAAATAGCAAAAGAAAAGAAAAAGGGTTACATATGAATGAAAGAAAAGAGGAGTAAAGAAACTGATTGAATGTAAAATTATGAAAATTACTCTATATTTCCATTTTTATTCTGTTTGTACAACTTTTTTTTAACAATATATGATTTATTAAGTACAATGATAAGTCTATAATTAGGCCCTATTTTACAGCCCATATATTCATATTTGACCTTTATTTTATTTGGTGCTCACACTAATTTATATATTAATTATGCAGTTTAGTATAAAGATGCCACAAGTATACATTGGATGTGTTTTGGGCTCAAATTGATAGAAGATTAGAGCTTCGCAGCAGTCAGCACGCCCAGACCTTTTCAACAAGCATTGGGCTACTTTGAGCCCATGCGCACGGCCGTGCTCATCTGCGAGAAGCCCAATTATCAAGAATCTTTAGGGTTTTCAAACCTATTAAAAGAAGATCTCATGCATCGTAAAGAGGACCCTTTTTACATATAGTCTTTGGCTTTCGGATACACTTCTCATCTCATCTCTCTTGCACGGGATCCTTGGCACATGTTTGGCGAGACTTGGAGCTTCAAGCGATCGTACTTGAAGACTGGAAACACATCTCATACTCTAGTTTGCTATTTCTTTTGATTATGGCTTTGTTTATGATTGTTTTAGTTCTTTTCTTTAGCATGAGTAACTAAGTCCATAGCTAGGGTTATGGGAACTATTGTTCATGAATTTACGGAATTTTGATATTTGAATCTAAATTTGATTTTCGTTTTATGATTAGATTTTAACCTATTACGCTTCTTTCTTAATCCAAATTAATTATATGGTCAGGCGACCGTACTTCGGTTAATTAATAGATTGATTAATCCATATTTTTACTGATATTTTAGCATAATGCTAACACAATTAATAAGAAAAATATATGAAGAAAGTAGAAAAACTCAAAAAAAAGAGAAGGAATTGAAGTTTGTTTACATATGTAGTTATTTTAGCAATTGTAGAAATTTTGCTTAGAAATTAAGTTTTTAATCTTGTTTTTGAAGGAATAAATTGAGCAAGGATCATGGAAATGGAGGCTTGATGACAAGGAAGAAGAAAGAAGCAAGTCTGGACTTCAAAAAAAACACAAGACCAAGAAAGTGCAGACTGGGCGTAATCACTACTGTCAGTAAAAGTGATCACTCCAGAGTTCAAAGAAGAAAAAAGCTTGGGCGTTATCACTTCTGCTAGGAAAAATGAGAGATCCTGTGAAGTCTCAGACTCAACATGTTGGGCGTTATCACTTTTATTAGTAAAAGTGAGCGTTCTAGAGAGGCAAATATCAGGAAAAGCTCTGCGTGATCACTCTTATCAGCGAAAGTGAACATTTCAGAGAGCCTTCAACCTGGCGAGTTGCACGTAATCACTTTTATTCATAAGAGTGATCACGCGCAACCACTTGAGCTCTGCGTAGTCACTTTTATCAGCAAGAGTGATAGTTCCAGAGAGCCCTCAATATCAGGAAAGTTGCGCGTGGTCACTTTTTCTCATAAAAGTGTTAACACGCAACCATAAACCTTCTGCGTGGCTACTATTTCTCATAAAAGTGATAACGCGCAAATCTGGGAAATTCTATAAATAACAGAAACATGCAGATTTTTCGGAGTTCAGTTTTATTTTCCATTTTTTCTGTTAGATCTCGTTGAGAGAGCTTGAGAGAGAAGATTGGGGTCAAGTCTTGAAGCTTCCAAAAAGAGGAATCGGATTGGAGCTTCCGGCTATGGCTTCTTGGAGTTTTTCTTCTTCTTCTTCTTCTTCTTCTTTCTCTTTCTCTTCTCCCATGTCTGAGTAGTTTTCTTGTATTTAGGGGTTTATGGAACTCGAATTGATGTATTGATTTGACTTTTGCTTCTAAATTTTAAGTTCTTGGATTAATTGAATTGTGAATTCTGTTTTTCTTGCAATCTATGAATGAAAATTCGTTTGATTCATCTTAGAGGAACAATTACCAATGGAAGTTGGATTTGCTTCTCCGATCTGAGTTAGCAAGCAAAATTTGGGGATTTCTTAGAGATAAGGAGACCTAATTCTGCAATCTTAAGGTTCTAAGTCTTAATGCAACTTGAAATTGAACTTCAACTAAGGGATTAGGGTGGTTTAGTTGCTTGTTAGGGTCAATGAGTTAAGGAATTAACCTTTGGCTATTGCTATGCGAAACTGATTGTCAATTAACCAAGTTCTTGAAT